CTCCAAAACCCATGTCCCTTGTAGTCAATAGTCTGTTCCAGTTCTCCGGTCCGGTGGTCCACCAACTTGGGCGTTTTTTCCACCCCAACGCGAGGCTTCGCCGCTCTGAGGGGCCTCTTTGGCTTGCCTCCAGCATGCCAAGGTCCCAGCCTCAAGAACAGTGGAAGCAATGAGGCAGGTTCTTTTTGGCCGCTCAGGAATTGGAACAGGCTTAGTGCCATGGTGGATGAGTTTTCTGTCAGTGACCCAGTGATTCCTCAGGAGTTGGGAGAGAAAACCCACAGGAAATCCATCGTGTTGGGCGGTTCAAACCACCGGGGAACCATGGTTTTGGGGGAACCATGTGGTCCGTGACTTTGTTTGAAAATAGCCATCTGCGGAGGCCTCAAGTGGCTGGTCGCGTTACAACCAAAGAACTAACTAAGAACCTGGTAAACGGATGTCGGTCTGGCCAAACTGGCTCTGTCCTCTGGATTTCGACTGGTGATGTCCTATCACTGAAATAAAGCGCCCCAAAAATCAAGAATGCCCTATTCACTATATCATATCAATAATCTTTTCAGCAGGCCTCTCTCATACCTCACCTGGCAAAACCGTTCAGGCTCCGCAGCCCATCCGATCATCTGCGATGCCCTCTGAGCTCGAGGCCATCTGTCGATGGACGGCAACCTTCAGTGTGTGGCAAAGATCTTTTGCCGCCTGAGCGTGCACAGACGCAGCCGGGTGGGATAAATGGCAGGGCTATGAGCGGCGAATGAAACAAAGAATGCTCAACAGTAATGCTTATGGTTTTCAATGGTGCATGTCGCAAGAAAGGGAATGGTTCCGTCTGGACTCCGGAATTGGAAGGGACAACAAAGGAAACGTCCCCACAACCTCAGACCGACAAACCTCACACCCACACAACCACACTCCCCTCAACGAGATCATGGAGTTGCACCGCTAGTGATCCAGAAAAGAGAAAACTAAAGGATAAGTCCATAATAAGCAAATAACTTTAAAAAATAGATGAATAAAGGTTTACAATGCAAAAAAAAAAAAACAAAAGTCCAAAGCCAATACTGTAGCCCAAGAAGCTCAAGGGTCGCTTGCTTAAACGGAATCACCAGGTCAGCCGGACCTCGCCTGCTTTCGAGGCTCCACGCTGCTTCCCGCCTGGTTGGGTGTTACAGAGATGGCTTCAGCCAATTCTCTGACTGAAAATGCATTGGATGTGGCACAAAGAGAAGAAAAAGACAAATCATACCGACTATGCTCCATTAGCACAGAAAAGTGAGCTGACCCATCTTCGCTGTATTTTGAAAATCATTGAACATCGACAGCCGTTCGGCGGTGTTCTGAAACCTCCTTTTTCGTCCGCAGCTGGCTCACTTGCTTCACGTGTTTTGGTTATATAGTATAGTCTAGTTGTGTTCGTTTTCTTGTTCTTCAAATGGATGTCTTACCTGGTTCCCGCTTCAACTGGAAAACAGGTGATTCTATAAATAAGTGTCCACCTCCCAACATGTTCCATTGTTACTCTCCGCATGTCCGGTGTAAAAAAACACAAGTCGATTCGTCCCACAATTCGTCCTGGCCGAACGCTCACGAAGAAACTTGACCCTGACAAAAACCAAGAAATGGTCCCCCAACAGCTGGGAATTCTGAAACGTTCCTTCTCCCTGGTTCTGAAGCTACAAAGTACTACAAAGCCTGCCAAGCACCTGATTGGGAACCTCCAGGAATCTCCCAAGCCTGCAGGTAAGTACTTTGATTTGAGGTCCACTCACCAAACCAGAAGTTCCTTCTCAAATAGTTGATCATCGTTCGGGCAGCATCAGGCAGAATGATGGTCCACCAAAATCCTGACTGCTGTGGAACTTGCTTCCAGATATATGTGTTTTTCTATACAGCACGCCATCAAACCGCAACACCACGAATCGCGTAGAAGTCTCGAACTGCCACCTGGTTCCTTCGTGCCCCGATCAAAACGACCTTCTGGAGGTTGGAAAACTTTGGGTCAGAACAAACGCAAAAGGATCAGAATTATTTGGGTCACACCATCCAAAGAATGTGCGTCTACACCTGAATTCGCCCACACCGAAATCAGCTTCCACTGCGGAAACTCTTTTCGGGACGGAGCTCATGTACGCCCACACCACACAGTCTTCCCACACCTGTGAAGGAGTCGCGGTGCGTGGGGGTGTGGCGCTGCGCGGTGATTGCGGCCGTACCTGGAATCGAGATCAAACTCCGGATCAGATCGATGCTGGACGATCCTGGCGGTGCTCCTCGTTTGAAACGCACCCAAATGATCCCAAATGGATATGATATGGATAAATGATATGGATATGTCCCAGTACCAGTAATTAGTTAACAATGGATGATGATGGTTAGATTGCAGATCCTTCCCCAAAGGAGTGACCATCATACCGATTGTCACCGCGAATGGGACACACCTTATGTGTATATATTCTTTTCCCTCCAGCCCTCTTTTCAGGTTCCGTCGCCTGCCTTCTGGACAATCTTTTGATTAGGGTGGCAAAAGAAGGCCACCGCCGCCGGAGTGTAGGGCTGACAGCTCTAAGTACTCCTCTCACACAAACCTCTAGACCCCATCAATGAAGCACGATGCCCACACACAAACATTGTCAAAAAGTTGTCTACCATGACAAGGTATCTCGGGGGGCACAATCCGTACGGGCCGCATCAGTGCCTGTGAATGCTTGTCGGCAAGCTCAAAACCTCTCTTTTTGTCACTCCTTTCTCAAAATGGGTTGGGTCTAGCCAGAAATCAGGGGGGCGGGGAGAAAGGGCAATTGGGGTGGTTGTTTGCAGGTGGTCCACATGCAACTCAGGACCATGGCTGCTATTCAAAAATGTCAATACATACATTCACGAATTGCGATCTGATGTTCTGTTGCATGTGTCGTGAGAGGGTGTCTCCGAGTTATATAACCTTCTGCATGCCTGGGACACATCGGCTTAGTCACACTCAAGAAGGCCAAGGCGTGTCGTAGATTCTGATCTTTGAACCACCCTCGCTCGCATTCATCAGACCAATGACCAATGCAACGATGTCTCCCAGTGTTCAAGTGTCCGCAGAAACCCCGTGCATGTGCTTTGTGGTCCTAACATGAAGAAACGAATCTTCACAGTCCAGGACCTTCCCAGTAACCGTTTCAGGATTGGTAAGTGACCTTTTACAGACCTAAGTGACCTCATTCGATCTCAAGGGTCGGGAAGGTCACGGTCATTTCTATCGATGCCTCGCGCCTCCGACACCGGCAATCGACCAAACCAGCGATCGAAGCAAACCTGAATGAGTCCGTTAGACTGACCTCAAGCAAACCTCAAAGCTGGGAGCGAAGCCCTATACCCCTCGTTCTAGTTCATGAACCGTCAACGAAAGAAATGCAGGCCAGGCTCATCACCAGGCCTTGGCCCTTAAGCCAGGAAAAAATCCAGGCTGACCTTGTTTCTTCCAACAAAAATATGCTCAAACCGCATCGCTCGTCCAAGAACAATCCTCGCCTGCCGTGGCGAGCTGGAAGCGGCTTCACCTCGGAGGCGTGAAAAGCCGGTTCCGGCATGAACTGGGTCTCCATGTTCAGGTGCGGTGGGAGACTGTTCGGAGCTGTTCAGGTGGGAAGCTGTTCGTTGGATCCGAAGCTTCTGTTTGGGGTGGATGGTCCACCATGGCGGTTCTGCTGCAACTGCACGATTTGGCTCATCTGTGACTACCAAGCGGAGGGGTATGCTTTGGGTCCACGGAAATGTCTGAGAAGGACAAGCTAAGATGAGAAAGCTTGAGGGACCTTGAGCTCAAAATGATGAAAACTTCCATGAGTTGCGTCTATGGGTCTCGTATGGTCTCGTCCCGCGACGAGACGTTCACCGCATGTCGACGGGTCTGGAGTCGGAGGCAGCTTCAGGAACCCCCAGTGCGGCAGTGGAAAGAAAGCTGGGAAGCTTGCTGCAAAGCAAAAAAGGACACCCTTACAAAGGGTTTGCGAACTCGGTGGTAGAGTGTCTGCAAACCATCAACCACACTGGTGGCATGTCTTTTCTGTGCGCTGGTCTGGCGTTGGTCCTTGCTTCTCGGCAACAAACAGGCTTGGGGTATCAGGGCTATATCAAACCTTGGATGATGCAAGCATCCAAACTCGAACTCTCGATCTCTTCATCTGTCTTAAAATCCGCATCAAAAAGCGCCTTGACTTCATGACCACTGAGGCAAATGACATGGATTGGCCGCTGGGAAGAGAGGCTGGACCTAAGGCTGGGAGGCTGACGGTGAACCCTTCGGTCTGTCCGCTTGCGAAAGGGTGAACCCTTCAGATCAGAAGAAAAAGGGAAGAAACTCGTGGAAGACCGAAGCAAAAGATCCGAAGTCTTCAGGACACAAATCTGTCTGTTTCAAGTGAAATGAAAATTCTATAGAAGTATAACAATTAGAAACAAGAAGCTAGTAGTAACAAGTGCATCGCTACTAGTAACAAGTGCCTTACTAGTAGTAACAAGAAGCTATTAGAAACAAGAAGCTAGTCACATAACAATTACTCATACAAAAAGTTGGAGCTTGGACCGGACATCTGCTGCATCTTCTGCCTTCCTCAGCCCGCAGCAGTCACCGGCGCGGCCCAGAGCGCCTGTGACTGCCGGTGAGAAGGACCAGACACGGGCAGACCCGGGACGCGGGCAGACCCGGGAGACCCCCTCAGACACGCAGTGGAAGCGGAAGCACTTACCGAACCAAAAACCCTCTCAGAAATGCTCTTATTGCTCAGAAGGCGTTCGTCGAGGGCGGTCGCCTGTGAGAGTATCTCTCAGAAATGTCGAAAACAAATCCTTGGGAAAGAAAAGCCAAAGCCCCCATGCAGCTTCCATTGCTCTGCTTTTTCTTGGACCAGGAGGGTCTTTGAAGTGGATGAAAGTGTTTCTGCTCCCAGAAAGTATCTTCCACACTCCCATGAAACTGCACCCAGAAGGCAAGCGGCAAGACCCGATGGCGGAAGACTCTTTTCACAACAACGCCTCGGTGTCTTTCTCGCCAATCAATGGATATGCCGTGAAACGTCCTGCCAATTCCTGGATCCCAATCCGTCCATACCTCATGCGGCGGGGCCATACCTCATGTTCGACCTCCTCTTGTTCGTCCTCTTCACCGAACCACCCGGTCCTGGCAGGTCACTCCACCCGGTCCTGGCAGGTCGCCGCTGCCGGTGCTTCACCAGCGACGTGGGCTCTGCCGGGCGGCACTGTTCGGCCTAACCAAAGACCACATCGGAACGCAGCACGTACTTCACGCCCTCCTTCACCTCCAGGGATTCATGCAAGAGACACTCACGGCCATGCCGATGCACCAAGGCCATGCCTGTCTTGGGCGTCACCCGCAAGACCTCCTTGTGGTGGGAATAGAAGACGGTCTCCCCACCCACTAAGCCTTCGTTCACGCCACTGAGATACACCAAGAGCGTGTACTCGGTTTGCCCCAAAGAGGTCTGGTTGCTGCCGTCCACATGTTGTCCGAAAACATCTCCACCTAGTCACTGAAACACGGAAAAATGGGTGAAGACCTCTGAACACCTCTCCCTCGCGAGGAAAAACCATGTTTCACCTCACTCGCCTGAATACTTGTAGATCCGGATGTTCTCATTCAAGCCGATGGGCTGACGATTTCGAGGCCCTCTCAGCGTCTGCTTCAAGCACTGTCCAAGACCCGAATCCCAGAGTGCCTGCGCATAGCGAGGGTCATCGAAGGAGATGCGCCAGTGGTGCCGTAGTGCCTCCCCATAGGCAGGTCCACGACTGGTCTGCACCTCAAAGCCAGCCTCCTCCGATTTGGCGATTAGTGCTTCAGCTTCCTCGCCATCGAGCTAAGAGAAGCAAAGAAGAGGAGCCAAGCGAAGCTTTGCATTGCAAAGAACTTTTAGTGTTGCACGGCTGAACATGTTCGAAACACGCACCCCTACATCTATCAACCCAACTGGGACCCAACCTGTTTAACCAAGTGTTGCGGACACGTTCCCGGTCCTCAGGTCGCAAAGTGTCGGGGATCGTGAAAATGTTCTCCACTGGGTGGCTTTCAGGCACCAGTTCCTTTGAGGACGGCACCTCCCAGGCATGGTGTGTGGAAGGATCTGCATGCTTCATGAAGTGACATGGCTCGGCTCAAGCGGTTTTGCGGGGGGGTCAACCCGTTGAAACCAGGTAAACCCGGACATGGGCTCCGGTGAAGAAATCGAACACACGCTCCACGCTCCAGCCTCGCCACCCAGCCGCCGCCCAGGCACGGCTTCCTTGCCACCCCAGCGCATTCGCTTGCGCGCGAGCTTCGCCACCGCGCGGCGGAGCTTCATGCGGCCGCGAAGCGGAGCTTCGGACTGTGCAGCCGTGAGCCGTGAGCCATTCGCGGCGGAGGAGGAGGGCTCCGAAAGGCGCCAAGTGCTTTGAAGGGAGGAGAACGGGCCTGGAGTGGTTGGGCTTGTGTGATATGGTCCATAATGTCCTCATGAGGCAACCGCCCGTGCGATCGCACGGGCGGTGACAATCCGTCAAAAGGTATGGCTTTTTTAAGCAAAGAAAGAAAAGAACAATACTCGCGAGACAATTGCTGATCCTAAGAGTTGTATGTTCCGCCATCAACAACCAATTGACTCAGAAAATTGAAACTAGCAGCAAATCCTCTTCGTAGTAATCGACAGAAGAATGAATTTACTCCACATGCTCTACTATCCATTCCAGACCACTGCGAGTTTTCCAGCAAACCCCCTTCTGCTCCTTGGTCAGATCACCCGCATCCTAGCCCAAAAGCAAGAGTTGCTGCCCAAAATCCACCCCCAAAACAGATCTTGTCCTGAAAAGTTGTCTTTCATGGTAAAACCTTCCGATCCTCTTCTCTTTCGTTTTTTCTCTCCCAGAACCGGCGCTGCGCCTGCCCGGACGGTGCCGGAGAGGAGCTCCGAGGCCTGGCAGCCGGGTGATGTTTTCCGGCCAAATCCGGGAGTCTGGCTGCCCAGATGTGGGGGGGGCGGATGCAGAAACGGGAAGCCAGAGACGCAAGAACCACCCGAAATCTCTCTACATGTTTGGAAACCACTCCAGCCCTGCCCTCACAAACGACTGCTTTCCCTGCCTCGGTTGCGCATGGAAGACCTGATTCTGACGCAATATGTGGCAAAGTCCTACTACAACGCGTCTTTCAAACCAAAGACTTTATATAAGGTTGAGTTTCTGAACACCCCTCAAAAAACAAACCTTCAAAAACTGGCCAAAACCGTCTGAAAGCACGAGTAAAAGAATTGAAGGTATGCTGGGGCTAAGAAGGCCCTTTCTTGTTTTTATGTGCTTCACTTCCAAAGAAGATCCATCCGGCACCACCTTTGATACTCAAGGCAATATGGGGGTTCTCCCTAGTTGTTTCTTTTTCACCTTCTCCCCAACATATGGAACAGAAAAATTTGGCTGGCAGGGCTGGCAGGTCCAACTCCCGTGAAAAACTTGGACTCAGAAACAGTGGCCCGTCCGGCTCTGCCACCCCTCCAAGTGGCAAAGGCACCAGGTTCTGCTGATCGGGGACTGCCTGCTTTTCTCAAATCCAGCGGCCGGCAGGGCAACTCCGGCAGGGTTCGACATAGGAGTCGGAGTCATAGTGAGCAAGGAACCAAAGTCGCTGGATTCGGACACAATAATGCCGCTGGAGAAAGGAACACTACAATGCACAAATGCTCAGCAAAGTCCACATCAAAATCCATGGCGTATCCCCCTTTGAGACTAACCCTTGCTACATGCCTCATGCCATGCGCAAAAGAATCATAGACACGGGACAAAATGGGTAAAAAAAACCAACTCAATTATCCAGCTGGTCCCTGAACATCCCAATGCTCAGCAAGTATCACCCCACAAGAGCAAATTCACAGAGACAGTTGCTCATGCATATAGCTGTGGTGATCGTCTAGGTGTCAACTTTCAACTTGGCCATGGGACAGCGCCTGGCTCGAACCAGGGAGGCAGCAACGTCGCAGACGCCTGGACCAGCGGCCAGCGGTTTTTGATGGAAGCACACATCAAAACCGTGCCACGGTGTGCCACGGTGTGCCACGGTGTGCCACGGTGTGCCACGGTGTCGTCTCCGAGCAAATGAAGGTCACCATCGTGCTTTGGAAACGGAGACGAACGTGGCGTCCGTTGACGCGGGGGGTGGAGTCCCCTCCAAAGTGGTGAACCCTGGCCGCATCTCTCTCTCTCTCTCTCTCTCTGAATGACCCTTGTGCAGGAACAGCCGCAAGCCACTTCGACCGAGACACCGACGGGCATCCGATCAACAAGACGGGCGCCTGCATCCAACTGGGTGATGGCAACATAGGGCCAGGCCTGAGTGCAGTCAACGGGTCGACCACGAACGTGAGCATGAAGAAACGCTTTGAAAAGCTCAAGAAAATACATGTCCCTTGAAGTAGACATGGGTGGAGTGCCAAATGCACCAAATGGACCAACGGCCTTTTGCTGTAGGGTCTAAGTCATGGTTTTTGTTGGTCATGAAGCCAATGTCCGGTATTGTCTGGTCAGATGTTGTGCTTGAACTCAAGGAATGCCTATGATGCACTGCCCATGACTTAGTCATGTCTTGGATCAACACCGTGATTATGTTGCTCACCGGCTTGCCCACACCACCAGCCAACCAGTTGAAGAAAACATCACTTCGCCGACATCCCTTCGCCGAGCTGCTGTACGATCTGCATGGCCGGCACACCACCCTCACACGGCTGTCGGATTGCTCCCACTACCACTATAAAGCAAACCTGTCAGCTCAAAGGGCTCTGGTGCTGTGGACCTGTCAGCTCAAAGGGCTCTGGTGATGTTGGCATCCCAAAGCGTCGGGCTTCTCCACGTGTTCAAACCTTGCCAAACCTTGTTGCTAAACCTTGTTGGCAAAAGAGCCACAGTACACTTCTCACCTAGAGCAGTGACGATCCATTGGAGCCTCCAGGAATCAATGTCCACCGTAATGGACTCCAAACGCGTGGGTCCACCTACCAGGGTCAACCGGGCTCCGGGCTTTTGAGTCATCAAGGCCTTTGAGAAGTGTAAATGGCTGCCTTACTTCAGGTTTCTCACCCCCAAAGGCCCCACCCAACCGACTCCAATCAACAAGCCCACCACCGTCCCAGTAGAAGAAGAACCGTTCTCCCCGCGTCTACCACGCACCTGCACGGCGGGCATGGCCACGGGCACAGAGCCCTTGGGTTCACAGACTTGAACGGCGGGCGCCAACTGTATAGCAAGTTCGAAGTTTAAGAGCCCACAAGCGCCATGTCGAGAAAAGAACGGGAGAGGCGAACATTCTATCAAAGAATATGTTCGGTTCATGTTGGGCTGGCAGTGTGTGGAATATAGTGATCAATGCCATATAGCCGGGCGTAACTGGGCTCGGTAGCGTAGCTGGGCTACCGCGCTGGTGGAGTAACAGACCTGGCCGGATCACAACTTGAAAGGCACCATGGGATACCATGGGCATGTTAGAGCCTTGAACAGTGTGCTTGACAAACGCTTGGAGCTTTTGCCTTCTCCGCTTGAAGTCAGAAGTAGTACTTCGGCTATATATCTGTTGCTTGATAGAAAAGTTCTGTTCTTCCGAACCCAAAGAATAGACTTCGAAGAAGCTCCAAGGTCAAAAAGGGCCAAGTTGGAACCCAGAAACGAACCACATTTTCAGCGCACGTTGGGACCCAGCTGGTGGGCATCACAAGGTTGCATATTGTAGCGTTTCGTTGAAATTCCCGATGTCCAAGCCGCATCACCATCCATCATCCGACCCCAGCGTATCATCGTTGATGGATCTCATTCAGTCCGTTCGGGGCAAGAAATCTGTCCGTATATACTTGTTCACAAACGAACTCAGACATCTGCATCCACCCCTGTGGCGATCGGATCGGGAAGTGTTTCAGTACTAGAAGGGGAAGTGTTTCACCCCGTGCCCCTTCGCCCGGGCACTGCATCAGCAATCACTCAAATAGGCATGAGAAGAAGAAGAAGAAGTGAACCTCTTTCCCAGCAATTTCCTGAACATACGTATTTCGACTCGGCAGATTCTGGTTGATTGGTCGCAGTTGATGTCCTGGGAGGTTCCTGACCAATCCATCGAGCGATCGCCCAGAGTCGCCGTCTCCATCCCACCTCTGCCAGACATCGCCCAGAGTCGCCGGGAGGCTAGGACCTAAGGAGAGGTCCTTTACTTTGGGAAGGCACAGAAGGCACAGAAGGAAGGGGTACTCCCCAATGACCTCCAGGTTTCACGGACTTTCCGCTAGGTGAGCTTGCAGGTTAGCTCAAGACCCCAAAAAGACTGTTTCTTTTTGATAATTACGACGGTTACAGTACAATTAATGGCATACACCCTACATGAACTGGTTCAAAAAACAGGAAGACCCTTTTGAGGGTTTGGCTCGCTTGGACGTTCACCGATTGAAAAACAAATTGGATCCCCTTCATTGGAACCCGCAAAATGTGTCCTTTCTGATCTTTTCGGGTTTTGGAGATAGCTATCTCCGAAACAAACCCAAGGTAGTTCTTGGAACATACTGAGATTTCAGAATAGATGGAAACATATGGAAACCACACAGCAATAGGTGTTCAATGTGCGCACTGAAAGAGGGTTCAACTCTGTTCTTCGAGCCGCGACGCTAAAACCTCAAAACACAAACTGCCCATCGGCAAAGAAGAAAAACGATGTCCTAGGGGCTCCTGGCATCGCTACTAGGAGCAAGGGACGCTACTAGTCCTGGCATCGCTACTAGGAGGCTCTCTCTGTGGCATGTCTCAAACCACGTGCTCTTTGGGGGGGTAGGAGCAAGGACGCTACGAACGGAACAAGAGGCTACGAACGGAGCATCTCGGGCAACGCTACGAGGGCCGGGGCCCCGTCTGCTGGATCGAATCGAAGCTTCCATGCTGCGGCCTGGAAGACAACGACGGCAAACCAACACCAGTCATGGAAGTGTTTGCCGTATTTCTCGGTCCACAAGCAAATGCTCAGGCAAGGGTCAAGGGTCTACTGTAAACACACAACTCCTGACAGGGCTGAGTTCGGGCGATGGTCGCGATCGGTTTGGGGCTCATGCGCAACCTTCTGGATCCCACCTCGTGATTCGGATGGATGCCTCAGGCACCGAAGATCTGTGAGAGAGACCCACAGAGACCCTGCCCCTGTTTGGCGAGGACCCAGTCGCTGCGAGTCCTTTTCATCACATCATGAAAGGGGCATGCGAGTCCAGCAATTACCTGTTTGTAGATTCTCCGTGCAGCTGGAGAGAAGTCTCACTAATCACTAATCCTCTACTCACCCAGCTCGACACACCTCCGCACAACATGGTATCCCTTTTCTCGTCGGGCCAAAATGATCTCTGCGACCACTGGAAGATCCTAAGAGGGCTCCTGTAAGAGCTCCTCCAAGTAATCGCTCTCCTTGGTTTCGGACTTCTTATTGAGCTCCTTGAGCTCTTGAAAACTCTTCACCCGGCGCCGCTTGGCGGCGGCCTCCAACATCCTCGTGTCCAGAAGCGACTCGGGATCAATCACAGGAGGTGGAGCTTCAGGCTTTGAGCTAGAAGAGGCTCCACTCTCTTGTACCTCTTCTTTCCTTTTTCGGCGCCCGTCCTGTTCGGCGGGGTTTTTCTTTCTGCCCGTGAAAGGCCCGTGTTCAGTCCGAAGGGTCGCAAGGCAGCACGACAGTCCGAAAGACCCTTCGAACCAGGTGGTTTGTGGGATCTCACTACTCGGAGACTTTCCCTCACTGCATGAACTTTTGACACCAAGAAGAACCCTCTCCTTTTCAGTTGCACCAACCTTTGTAATCAATCATGTGAACCACCAGCGATGAAAAAATCCAAACGCCCCTTGCTGGACCAAGACAAATCCTTTCTAAATGCAGAGTTGCTACAAAACAATCTGGAAAAAGCAAGAAATTGAAGATGGACATGTGAACCCTGACGCCATCAGCCAGTCCCGATACGTTTCGATCAATCCTCCCAGTCCTTCACCACCTCCTTCTCAGGCTCCTTGGGTCCCTCAGGGCAAACCTCCCCGCGCGACAGCAGCTTGCAACATCGGAAGCCCCAACGTTCCTCCTCACGCGAGTACCATGAGCCCCATACCGTGCTGTGCTCGTTTTCCATGACGTCCTCCGGATACCTGGAAAGATGTCGCACCAACCCCCTCCCCTCCCACGTCCCGGTGGTGCCGGTGGGATGAAAGACGGTCAACAGACTTCCTGCGGTCGTTGCGACTTCCTGCGGTCGTCGGAGATGTTTTTTTTCTTCCTCCGCCTTGGTCCGGAACAAATGGATCGGGATCGTGGGGATGTAGGACACATTTAGAAAAATAGAACCGTTTCTTTATTTTCTTCGGATTCGATCGTCATGTTCGCATCGAAGCCTTTGGCCGAGGGCCACTTCTATCACCCGCCTGGACTTCGCAAAGCTTCGGTCTACTGGACTTGCTGAGGAGGGCATCCCTTCTTCCTCATCACTGCCCTCTTCAGCCTTCTCCGCCTTCTCCGCCGCCGCAGCTTGTGCTTGTGCCGCACGCTTCAGCTTCAGGCGCCGCTTCTGCTGCTCGGCGATGGCTTGCTTCAACTCGGCCTTCTCGCTGTGGTTCAAGTGACTGGTGGCAGCACTGGCCTCCGCTGCTGTGGACAGGAAATCCGTGGACTTCCCCTGGCCTGAAAGATACATCTGCTTTCGTAGCTCTTCCACCTCGACATGGAGACATGCAGAGAGGTTCCGCTCCAATGCAGACATTTCGCTTTACAAAAAATATCCACCCGATCAGACTCCCCAAGAACCCTGCTATTGTACAAGTGGCCAAGAGTACCTCATTCCCCCCAAATCCACTGCCCACGACTCATGACGTCGCCTTTTCACCAGCGGAACCTCCCTTTTTCTCGCTGGCCTGCCGTTCCTCATCGCGCCGCTTCTGAAGCTCTTGTTGCTTCCGAAACTCACGCTCATCCTCCGTCTGGGCCTTCCAAAGCTTCTCTTGATTTCGCAGCGTGGAGGGATGGAAGAACTTCTTGTTGATGAAGCCACCAGCCTCTTCTTCGCCCACGACCGATGGAGCTTTCGTTCCGTTTCTCTTCCACGTCTCGGTGTTTCGGAAGACGAAGATTCTTCGTGGGTGTTCTTCCGACTTCGGGGGCTGGCTGACCCACTGACTTGCTCACAAAAAAGAAAGAAAGAAAATGAAAGAAACAAACTATCAGGCTATCACAGACCCTAGAAGGAACAAAAGAGGCGAAATGATGCTCCTGGCGATTTTTGGGGGGCTCTTTTTTAGTCACTCTGTGTGTGAGGAGATGTCTAACTTTTTCCTTTCGGGTGGCAGGCATGGTCCAATTGCACTCACACAGATTCTTGGTTTTACACCAAAAGCGCTGGTCATCAACATTGATTGCCTCATGGAACTGTGAAAGGTGATGATTGAGACCAAAACGTACCTCCTGATAGCCTCCTTCAGTTCACATGAGGTTTGTTCTATGTGTGTGTTCTCCTTCGAAAAGCACGGGCAAAACCCGTCTCCACACAAAAACACTCCGGCCTTCCCGCCCACCCGCTGAAAGGTTCCAAAGTGGGAGATCTCTGACAAGCCCATGGGATTGCCCGACGACATGGCCCCCAAAACTCACGTCGCAAGAGGAGAAAACGTACGTCGGGCGACGGTGGAACAGAAGAGGAGAAAACGTACGGTGGTGGAACCAACGTCCTTTCTTTGGCGGGGTGAGTCACACATCCTTGTTCCAAAGATGCAGTCTTTTTGGGTCTAGTGTCATGTAGGTGAAGACTCTGGGATTGCTACTTCAAGTCTGTGTATGTATGTCCTGTATTTGTGGGGGGACTCTAAAATGAATAGAGGCAGTTTCAATACGTGTCTTATTTTAACTGTAAACTCAACCATCGCTTCTGATTTCACCATATCAAGACAACTCCAACGTTCCGCTCCAACGTTCTGCTCATGGCCCTGGCATGGCTCTTCCCCGTCCAAGAGCCAAGCTTGAAGGCCAAAAGCAGTGGCCGTGGAGGGCGCCGGCGAGGTCGGAAAGACACTGAAAGATCCGAAGACCACGCCAGTGGTTCTTCTTCGGAACGCCCCACAAACAAGGGATGATTCCGGAAATGATCGTGATCGAAGTGAACCAGCTCAAGAATCACCCTGTTTTGGGGCCAGACTACTGGGAAGGTGTGCACCCAACAGCCCAAAACAGGCAGCTGGGTCTCGTGCATCACGTGCTCTGTCGCAAAGGTTGGAGCCTGGTTGATGGAGACACGATAGAACTCCATATTTAAACTCAATGGAACTCGGTGTTTCAGCTGCAGATTGACTCTGGGTTGGTCTGCGGGGTCAGCCAGTTTGGTTGACACAAGAACAAGCTGCACGTGGGATGCATCCGACGTCTTCCTTCATCTTCCTTCCCCACACGCCGTACCCATTCTGTTTCAACTTGGCGGTCGACACTGCCGAACAGGTCCCACCCATTCGCCTTCAGGAAGGCCGGGGATCCCGATGCCTGCACGGGCCGCGGTTTCTGTGGTTCACATGGTTTCTTGGACGTGGAGATCAGCTGGAGATTCAACATCGTGGGGAAGGGGTGGGGAAGCCGGGAGGCTTCGGGAGAAGACAATCTATTTTTTCCCTGGCAGCTGTGCCGAACTGCAGATTGGTTTTTCCAACCATCCATTAACTCAGAGACACACCCCAGTTTCAAAAGTGCAGGCAAGAGATGCACATCAGAAGCATGAAACAGTAGGTAGGTGTGTGTGTGTGTGTTATGATATCGCCAACACTACTGAATTATAGATCATCCAAACCTCTTTCACCTGGCACAAAGAATGACCAAACACTGAGAAAACACGGCACAAACCGCTCCAAAGTTTAAGAGAAAGAACAACGGGGATAGACCCCAAATGGCCTGAGCAGTCCGAATGCGAGGCCCTTTGCCAGGAAAAAGGAACGGCCCGTCCACGACTCTAAACAAGGGCTCTGTGGCCAAGAAGCACCATGTCAATGGAGGAACATCCTCCCTAACAAGAAACCTACAGCCGATAGCTTTCAGCTATCTGTCAAACAAACCAGTTGGACACATCGTGATCTGCAAGATCTTTCCCAGTAAGCCCTTGTCACCTTTTGCTCAGCAGCCAGAGGGCGCACCTCCTCACTAGGTCTGCTGGAGGTGTGCGTCAGGCCTTTGCGTCTCATGGCGGGCAGAACGTGGGTTGATCTGAGGGATTGTGGAGATCGGAGGGATTGCCAAATGTTCTGGACTTATTCCAACCCCACAAAGGGTAGACGAGATACACCGTCTTCCATTCTTCCATCTCTCATCAAACATAAACTCCAGTAGATTCCAGTTGCGAAGGACGTATCTATGCATGCATATTCCATTCCTGAAAGAAGATCGTCTTTTGTGTTTCAAGACCGCCTGGAGCCACCTCCAGTGCAGTTCATGATCTTCCTTAAGGAAGATGTTTCATCCAGGGTCTCAGGGTGTGTTCTCCCTTCTCCGAAACGGATGTCCCGGTGGTCGACCGTTCCGGCCTCCCGAGTTGAAGCCGTCCACCTGCGGAAGCGAATGGAAGGAATGGATTCGGACCACGGCCATGACCCAAAAAAGGCCATGGAAATGGTGGTTTAAACCTTGTAGCAAAAAGACCAAGAGGTCCGAAACATGTTTCATTCCAATGTCACTTGCCGAGAATCATTGGAAAACATGCATAACAAATGTTACCCAACATTCTGATAGACCACAGAGAACGGTGTGCAATGAAGTCAGAGGTACCGATAGCCACGGCATGGGTCGGCAGGACTACATTTGCGTGCCGGTCTATAACCTTGCTCTTGACTCTGCGATTCTGTTGTGTTGAGACGGTTTCAAAATGGTCGCTGGCGGCAAATCCGCAAGTCCAATTTCGGCTATACATCTGCAGAACGTTGTTGTTTAGAAATTCGCCCCAAAAAAAAGGTAAAAAAGTCTGGCGAACATATGGAAAACTGATGTCAACTCTTCGGTAAAGTGCAAAGTTTGCTTTGGCCCATGCTAATTCCAACCGCACATGGCGAGTGTTGCTTCGAATAAATAACTTGGTCCGATACAGCACCGGACACAACCCAGCATTAGAATCATTACTGTATATAGAGCATAAGTTTCAGCACAATTGAAAATGTTTGGGCATGCAACTGCAAAATTCCTCCGTTGAACCAATTTAGGAAGACTGGAATCGGGTGCAACCCTCCGGGGTAAAGGTTTGGTTCGCCCACGCGTCCAGTGAACCGGACACAACGCCGCTGATTCAACAGAAATTTCCAGATGCAAGAGATGTGTGGTCTCAATGCCAGGCGCCCAAGGCCGACGAAAAAGGAAGAAACCGATGACAATGTTGTGACATCGATGACAATCATTTGAGCCTTGATGAGCCTAAAAGAGATCGTGTTTGTCCAAGCCCACCCCCACTTGCGCCCACTTTCCCATATACGTTTTCAACCAATATCCCTATTGCTCTGCTCTTGCTTGCTGTTGGCACAAACAAAAACAGCCGTTTAACATAATTGTCACATGTTGCAACTTTGGAACTTCAAATGGACAAGGTTTGGGATACGGTTGAAGGTTTGAAGGAATGCTGGTTTCGTAAGCAGCTGGACTTGTTGGATTTGTTTCACTGAAGTCTGAGTGTGTCCTTCTTTAGTGTTTTTGATGCGTTGTTCTGGAGGGGGGTCCAAAAAACAGCAACGGGACTGCAGTTTTTGCTTCTAGGAGGGGTAGAGATAACAACACCTTTTGAGGGGGCCTGTGCAAAAACCACCACAAGGTTCCAGCTTTTGTTTCTAGGATGCGGTAGGGGCTCCTACACACAAAAGTAGAAATACTAGCAATGTAGTAGTCACAGTTGCAGTTGTAGCGGTATCAGTGCTGGTGGTAGTGGTAATGGAAGTGGTAGTGGCAGTGGCACTGATAGCAGTAGTAGTAGTAGTAGTCGTAGTCGTAGTAGTAGTGGTAGTAGTAGTAGCGAGTAGTAGTAGTAGCAGTAGTAGTAGTAGTAACAGTAGTAGTAGTAGTAGTAGTAGCAGTAGTAGCGAGAAGTAGTAGTAGTAGTAATAATAGTAGTAGGAGTAGTCGTCTCGTTGTCGTCGTAGCCGCAGGAGTAGTAGTAGTAGTAGTAGTAGAAGTAGTAGTAGTAGTAGAAGTAGTAGTAGTAGTATAGTCGTAGTATAGTAGCAGTAGTAATGGTGGTAGTAGAAGTAGAAGTAGTGTCTGCAAGACAGGATGCCTGAGTCTAAACAGTTGGGTGTGAACAGCGTCACAGGTAAAGTTTTTTGCCGTCTAATCACATGCGTGCTACATGAACCTTATTTAAACTGATCTCGAGGAATCTCATCAACCAACCTTTCATCAACAGCATCGATCTAATACGTCCTCTGAATACCTACCAATGGCTCCTAGGGCATTGGCAGTGAAGATGCTGAAAACAAAATTTTTCGACCTCGACGGTGAACTCGACGCAACACAAGCTTGTCAAGATCAACTTCCCATTGATCATGATATCGATTCTTTCTTCCTTTTTGTACCTTTTGGAAGATATCTAGATCCATGGGACTCTTTGGTGACTCAGGAACCTCAAAAATTTATGGCACTTCTGTCGGCTCATAGCCATCACTCTTCCATTGGTGCTGGGCTACCGTCCGGACCAATAGTCTCTGGTGGTCTCTTGAACGGAACATCATCAAACTATGGAAATCTCTCTACGCTCTTATCTCTCTCCTCATGCTCTGGGTGAAACTCCCCTTCTTCATCAATGGTTTTTCTCTTCTTTGCATTCTCTTTCTCTGACTCTGGTACTTTCGATCTCTCACGCTCTTCTTGAGGCTCGGACAATGACTCGTCCCTTATTTCAATTTCCCTTGGCCGTTCATCCTAATCCAATGGTACGATACATTTGTACCCTTGCTCTAGACACTTCTTTTTCTTGTTCGGACACTTGACAAAATGTCCAATCTCCTTACTTCCACAACATGCAGGGCATCTTGATGTCTTGTTCCCTTCAACCCAAAACCATGGTGGCTCTCCTTCATGCGCAAGAAGATCAACAAACTTCTGTGTCTTCTCAAGGTCCACCGGTAACTGTTCAAACCTCTCAGGCGTCAATTCTGGATTCAATCCTGTCACTTCAAGCAACATCCCAACGCCTGCAACAAACCTGATCGGTGTTGCAATCTTCAAGTCCCTGACAGGTGTAATCACCGTTGACGCTGGACTTGCAAAGATTGACGTTCCCGTCGACAGCAATCTTGGAATGGTTCGGGTCTTTTTTTTGCACGAGTGGAGACGCCATGTGTGCGGTGTGCACAGGTCATCTTTGCTAAGGTTTGAAAGTCCGCGTACTCAAGAAGCGCAAAAGGGTGAAAAACACCAGAAACCCAAAAACCCAAACACCAAACAAACCACAACACCAAGCAAAAACACCAAAAGAGAACATCGGCGTTTCAGCTCTGTACATCTGAAGTGAAACATGGTGAGACGGGAACTGCGGCTGTTTGCTACCTGGGCCACGAATTCAAAAGGGCTGCTATTGAGGGTGGTCGAAAGATATGCGAAGGTGCTTTGCGCGATCGGCCTGTGTATGGACAGGCCAAATCACAAGCACTTGCTGGCGCAAGTGCTCTAGTGGGATTGCAGCTTTCTGATATTGAGCAGAGCCTGAGAAGTTCCCTATG